CCCAGCAGATACAAAAACCCACACACCTTGCCTGCTTACACACTATTGTTAAACTCATTAAGTTAAACTGTTACTACAGTGCCGTTAAATGTGAGGATTTATTCACTGTGTGTCTCATGTTGGTGGCTTAAAAAAATGATGTGACTATTCATACTTGATGTTCGCAATATAGTCATTCTACACATCCCACCTGGAACAAGCCGCGATACATCAAGTGTAATTGATACATTGCCCACCACATGTCAGTTCCTTCCATCTTTCAGGGCTGTCAGTAGTGGAGCAAGCTTTATTACAACCTCCAAGACTCGGTCATTGTGTTTCCTATGTCCTTGCTGTTTTCATCCCCGGCTTATTGTAAAAATTAGTACTTATTCACTATCCATCTAACTTTCAGTGTTCCATTTGTTTGTTTAAAAGTGGAACTTTTGTATGGACATTGTAAAAAGAAGAAGGAGAAGGAAGAAGTTATACTTTATCAATCCTGTAAGGGGAAATCACAAGGGCACGCACACAGACCCAGATGCGCACTTGCACAAACAGGATCTGTACAGATGCATTATGAATGGAAAGATGTCAGTGCCAAGGGGCTGCCTCTCAAGATGGCAGCCTGAGTGGTTGGGGTCAGGTGCCTTGCTCAAGAGTAGCTTCGCAGTGCCCAGAAGGCAAAATGGCACCTCTTCAGCTACCAGTCCACAGTCCATACTTAGTCTGTGTGGGGACTTGAACTGACCACCCTCCACTCCCCAAGCCGAGTCCTCACAGACTGAGCTACTATTATGATCATGAGCTTGTAGATTTATCAATTGGAAGAAAAATCAGTGATGAAACAATTCATGGAATGTTTTTATTCTTTATAAACCGAGATAAACGCAATGTTTACCTCTTTCTTTTCCTTTTGTGCCCTGCTGTTGGCATGGTGACAAGCTTGAGATGTCAGCTGCATTTTAACTCAGTTCTAAACTAGGTTCTCACCGGGGAGTATCAATGACAGAAAGCTGGGGTGCAAATGTGTCACTTTTTGGTGAAAACTGCCGTTTTGAATCCAAAATAGGTCATTTGTGTAATTCACATAGATCTAATTCACATAGATCTGACGAGTTTTTAAAACTGAGGGGGAGGAGGGTCTGGGTCTGCAAAGAAAATAGTCACAGCAACAGTGCAACACTTAGAGCGTGTTTCAGAAACGTCACGCTGCTTACCTTATCTGATTTCACCTCGGGAGGTTGCTTTTTTTTTGTGAATTGTCACAATTCACAATCAAATTTTGAGTACAGCCACACATTTTGACAAATAAATGCAGGTCTGAATGTTGCCTGCCGTTGGCTAATCGCTTGAGTTTGCGGCAGGTTGCTGCTGAGATCGGTCATCGCACATAGAAATGTTTCAACTTTTGTCAATATGGACATGCTGCACATCTTAGCTCTGTCAGATTCTTCACAATTCAGTCATTAAATTCATCTTACTGAGGCCACCCAGGTAGCAATTTAATTTACAGTATGTCGAGTAGAAAAAGCATTTCAAAACAATAGCCGAGGCCTACAGCTTAACACTGGGTGTACAGCCAAATATTAGCTTCTACAGCCATCTGCTCCACACTTCAACACTCAGTAGCAGCTTCCTAGTTTGTTTTCACAACAATTCACAACTCATAAAGTAGTGCTGCACGATTAATCTAATTGCAGTCGCAATCGCAATGTCAGGCTGTGCGATTACATAACCGCATAAAAGGCTGCGATTTGCGATTTAATGTAGGCTAAATAAATGTTAACGTGTGTGCCTGTGGATGTGACTGCCTCTCCTGTAGTGCGTGGAGTTTGTTGACATCACGCCCACAAGCTATCTTGGTGCGTGCAGCTGGCGTGCAGCAGTGACCAACACAGACGCTGAAGAAGAGCATGAGCACGACCATGAACAGGCTGAGTTGGTGACGAAAAAAACGTCTGTTACATGGCGATACTTTGGATTCAGGTATGGCGACGTTGACCAGAAAGACGTGCTGTGTAAGTGTAAAAGTTAAAGTCGCCACGTCCCGCGGCAACACAACCAATCTATATCAGCACTTGAGACGAGATGTGGCGACTTTAACTTTTAAACTTTTACACAGCACGTCTTTCTGTCCAACGTCGCCGTACCTGAAAGAAATGCTGTGTAAAAGTTTAAAAGTTAAAGTCGCCAAGTCCCGAGGCAACACGACCAATCTATATCAACACTTGAGACAGCACAGCACAGGGAAAAGTAGGAAGAGTGCATGCGAGAGAAAGCCGAGCCATGTAACATTAAGACAATGAGACAACTGAAAGCCGTCAGAGCCTCATAAAACAACATCCAAGCACAGTTAAGCAAACATTTGTTAAGTGTCACAGGGAAATCATGGACTCCATAACAAATGAAAAATTGAGCAATTTTGCTCGGGTTCGGCCCACTTGACATGCTGCTGTGTTGTGCTATGGCGTGCTGGAAAGTGTCATTTATGTGACAACGCCTGAACGCAACACAGGCTCGCTCCGCTGTGTGTACAGTTCCGTGCTGCGCTGCTGTGTGAGCAGCGTGTTAGACTGTGCTCAGTCTGTTGATGGTCATTGACACACTGTCTGACCATAACAATAACTATGTCAGGTCAGTGCCCCCTAATATAATGTAGGGGAAACACTGAATCAAGCAGAAAGACTCATGATACCATTTATTTATTGTATTTTATTCTAATTATATTGTAATGCTGGCTGCAGATAGGAAGAGACTGGACAAGCTGATCAAGAAGGCCAGCTCTGTCGTGGGATGCTCTCTGGACTCTGTGCAGGTGGTGGGAGACAGGAGGATGACAGCCAAGCTGTCATCTCTGAGGACTAATGACTCCCATCCTCTGCAGGAGGAGAGCTCCTTCAGCGATAGACTGATTCACCCAAAGTGTGTGAAGGAACGCTATAGCAGGTCCTTCCTGCCTGCTGCTGTCAGGCTACATAACCAGCACTGCTCACAGTAGACTGCACCATGGACACTTTATTGACACTTTATTGACACTATGGACACTTTATGGACACCACAGCTGTCTGCTTTTTGTACATACAATCACTTGCACTAGATGTGCTCCCTTTATCCACTGCTCATTTTCATTCACTACTGCTCATTATTATCCACTTCCTATTATTTTCATTATTATTATTATTATTGTTATTATTATTTATCGCCGACTCTTGGATTTTTGTACTTATTTGCATGCCTAGTTATTTAAGTTTTTTAAGTCTAATTTTGAAATCTTTAATCTGACTCTTTTTCCTTGACTGCTGTAACACTGGAATTTCTCAATTATGGGATCAATAAAGGTGTATCTTATCTTATCTGATCTTATCGCAATCGCAATCGCAATCGCAATCGCAAATCGCAATATTGTCCACCATAATCGCAATTGCATATTTTTATCAAATCGTGCAGCACTATCATAAAGTATACTTAGCCTACAGGTTGTGATCCTGAATCTCCAGATTTGCCAAACAAAGTGGGAACTTCCCCGTCTTTCAAGTGTAATCGCTTTGAGAATCCAGCAGTAAACTTGCCAGTTTGTGAAGCAGTCCTCAGGAAAATAGAGGGAACACAATAAAATGTCTGGGTTGTATTGTGGAGGAATTGTATTAAAAAATAATTCTGAGGAACTCTGGAACTACCTGTTAAGCATTACTGATGTTACCATGTGGTCAACAATTAAAACAATGCCACACACCACAGCATTTATAACCTAATGCCTGGGTCACACTACACGATATCAGCCCGATTTGCACGACAAAGAGTGTTGTACACGGTAATCCATCGTTTCATCTCGTGTTGTGTGTCATAGAATGCAACAACTGATGCCACGTCTGGGACGCCTCATGACGTTCCAACAGAAAGTCTAGCATGTTTGATTTTCTTTTTGTTGTTCACGATTTCACCTGTCACAGCCGTCACTTTGACCTATACAAACACAGAGCGATCTGCTGCCGTAGACAACTGTACGACAACAACACCCCAGCCTTTTTGATATTTCCTCTAGGGATGTTACCATGTATGGAGGACCGGAACTGCCAAAAAAATGCAAAAATGCATAAAAAATAAATGTAGGCATTAATTAACTGATAAAATGCTTCTTTTCTTTTTATATTCACATTCGCTCACAAATTCTTTGTACATTTACATTCCTACATACATTTTAACATTTACATTCCTTCATTCATTCTTTATACATTTACACTTCTTCATACATTTACACTCCTTCACACATTTTTTGTACGTTTACATTCCTTCAGACATTTAATACAGTTTATACATTTACATTCCATGAATGCAATTCCTGAATTCTTTTCACATTTACATTTCTTCATGCATGCAGAAAGGGATGAAGAAATGTAAATGCAAATGAGGGGGCTGTCCAAAGCATAGATATATATAATCACAGATGACTCATTCCTGTGCGCCATCTTGGGGAGGTCACAGCCAGCTGGCTAGTACTGTTGTGTATGGAGATAAGTCTTCAGCAAACTTGGCGTGCTCCCTCAAAAGTCTCAAAGTGTAATTGGGTGCCAGTCCAAAAAATTACAGCAAAGCAGAAAAACCCGACAGCACTCACTATTAAGTATAATACTTTTTAATATAGTGGATTGGGCAGCAGCAGTCAAATGGACGTGCTTAAGCTCATAGCTGTCCTCAGCGTTAGGAAATGGCCACTTTAGAATGAACCAAACTATGGTGCTTTCACACATATTAGTGCGCTATCTTGATCCACACCTGGGGTGCTAAATTGATACATTTCAGTTCTTAAGGTTCACATTCACACACATTTGTTTTCATTCTGTCATTCTGGTCCAAATGCCGCAGTACTTGCGGAGTCATGACGACTGACCAAGAAAAGATGCAAAAGCGACTGGCACTAATGTATGAAAGCACCATAGTTTGGTTAATCCATGGGTTAGCTTAGCTAACCTGTGCTAGTGGAAATGAAACCCCCAAGAGCTGAGCATTAGCAAACTTACAGGTGCTTGTGCTCCTCTGACTTCCCTCCCCTCCATGCATTGTGTCTGCAGTGGATGCTGTGTATGAAGAAAGTAAGTCAAGAAATCGGACGCAAGAAAAAAACATCACATTCCAGTATTTCATACTTACCGCGCTCCAACTCCTCCAACCTGCCTGCTGCCTCTCTGAGAAGCCCAGAGACTGAGCGTCTAGCGGCCCCAGCCATCACAGTCCTCTGAGGTTTCCTCTAAGCTGGCTGTGGCTGTGGGGAGCAAGGCATGTATAGTTGATCCATGCACTCAGGTGTCGATCAACCAGTATGCGAAAAGTTCACCCCATGACACACATGGGTGTTACATACATTTCTTCATGTGGCAGGGTAAGAAAAGTAAATGCAAATGAGGGGGCTGTCCACCCCCATGACACACTTTGGACAGCCCCCTCATTTACATTTACATTTCTTCATGCCTTTCTGCATGCATGAAGAGATGTAAATGTGAAAAGAATTCAGGAAGGAATGTAAATGTATAAATTGTATAAAATGTCTGAAGGAATGTAAATGTACAAAGACTGTGTGAAGGAGTGTAAATGTATGAAGAAGTGTACTGTAAATGTATAAAGAATGAAGCAATGTAAATGTTAAAATGTATGTAGGAATGTAAATGTATAAATTGTATGAAATGTCTGAAGGAATGTAAATGTACAAAGAATGTGTGAAGGAGTGTAAATGTATGAAGAAGTGTACTGTAAATGTATAAAGAATGAAGCAATGTAAATGTTAAAATGTATGTAGGAATGTAAATGTACAAAGAATGTGTAAGGGAATGTAAATGTAAAACGAAAATACGCATTTTATCAGTTAATTAATGCCTACATTTACTTTTTATGTATTATTGGTGCAATTTAATGGCATATGAATTTATTTATTGACTCATTTATTTATTTATTTATGCATTTATTTTTAATTTTGGTAGTTCCAGTCCTCCATAACCACACAGAGTAAAAAGTGAAAAATTATGGTGTGAACCAGCAGCACTTTATCAACCTGGTGAGTACTGCCATTAGCATCAAGCTAGCAAACAATGTTATTTCTTTATAATGGAGACGGACACAAAGTAAGAAAATAAAGAAATAGTGGCTGTCCTTTTACTTACTACAACTGAAGAGGCTACCAGCTTAATTTGAAACAGACAACATTATAAATGGGACGTTATTATTCCCTCTGTATTTTTATATTTTTACATTTAATCTGCTCCCTTTTGCCTTTGTAAAGTTAATACAGCTCACCGTCATTTGAAACTCAACACTTCCTGTATCTGTTTCAAATTAAAAGCCCCTTTTAACTTTGGTTGAGAGAATCCCTTTATTTTCTAAAGATGCTTTTATTGTGAAACATTTGCAGGAACTTGTGAAGGATTCAGTGACGGTACTTCAAATGTAGCTCCTGCCATCTGGTGGTGCTTTTTTATATTACTACAACAACATTTCAGCTGGCATATGAACAGACACAGTGACTGAAATCATAGTAAAAGTAGGGGTGGGCGATATGGCTGAAAAGTATATCACGATATAGCTGATTCATATTGATCGATAACGATAATTTTTTTATAACCTCTTTAAAATAAGGACCAGGAGAAAATAAATAAATAAATTTTAACACATTTATTTTAAACTCAATAGCTTTCTTCTGATTTAAATCACAGTCATCAGTCAAGGCACACGGAGATAAATGTAATGTCAACACAACCATTAGAAAACACTCAAATAAATGAACATACACAAGATGGTACAAAAAGTACTACTCAACTATTTCCTTGCTATCCACACTCATTCTTGCTACTCACTCCATGGTATGTTGTGTTCAGTGTTGCCAGATCTTGGGAGAGAAACAAGCAACCAGGACTACCACACAAAATTACTTTACAAATACATTATATTTACTGCCCCTGAATTCTACCAAACCAACTAGCCGACCAAAAATGTGGAAAGAATAAATGAATGAATGAAAATGAAAGTAAAGACGTTGCATATAACGAACCATTTTACTTTCACTGTAACAGTGCTGGTATGCTGGACAAGATCTGAATGATGAGTACATATTTCACACAGAATCTGAATCTGCACACTGCCTTTGAATCGTCCCCCTCTTGAAGTCGAATCTTTAATCCTCTCTTTCTACAAATCTTTATTGTATTCTTTCCGTATTTCGCCCTCTTGTTAGTGAAATAGTTAAAGAACCTCCATTAATCGCGCGATTTATATATGAAAAGTCTCATTGACTGACCGTCACCTGTGTGTATGCGGAAAAGGGGGGGGGGGGGTACTGCAGTACGACATACTATCATGAGTTTAAATAACTTATTAGACAGATATATATAGAGAAAGGCAACGTTTAGAGAGCAAGCCCAAAACAAGCCCAAAAAACCACAACCCGTGACTAGCAATACTTGAAAGTGACTTTACAAAAAAAACAAGCCCAAAGTCGCAGCTTATAAGCGGACCTGGCAACCCTGTGTTCACACACGAGGATGGCGCAACCAAACCTGACGTTGTTAGCTGTTTGCGTGACACTGTTGCTAGGTTACCAGGGAGCAAGTGAGTGTGTTCATGCAACCAACCTTGCACAGCACGACTCCAAGGGTAACTTGTGCGGCTTTCCTCGTGTTTTTTCCCGACAAAATACAGTAACATTATCGAACATTATATCGAACGTTTTTTCTATCGACAACGCATAAGTGTTAATCCCGAGATGATATGTTATCGTTTTATCGCCCACCACTACCAAGTAAAAGTAATAAAAATAGGACAAGAATAACCCGATGACATCACACAAGTCCTGAAACATGACTGGGGATCATTGGTGTGGCACACCGTGTCGTGTGTCATGTCACGGCATGATTTTATGACCCCACAATCGTGTAATTTGACATAGTGACTATCAGAACGGACAGAAATGTCGTGTAGTGTGAACCAGCCATAAGCTAATTTGCAGAGCCCACAAACCTAATGTTAGCTCGGTTCAATTTTCTTTATGCTAATACTGTCATAACCACAACATCACTAAACAGTTTGCTCCTGAATTTGGAATAAAACATTAGACTAATTCATGACAACAGTTAGCTAGCTAAAGTAGACCTTTTTTACTTGATGTGTTTAAATGGAATGCTTGTTACGGTAGCTTATTACATTGCTTGAGAGGGGGGTATGCCAAGCTCACTGAAAATGAAAGAGGCTGAATTGTAGTTACCTTGTAATTGTTTTTAGTTTTTTGAACTTTTAGTTGTAGTGGTTGTGAAATCAGTTTATGAATGTCATATCTTAAGCCCTTTCTTTTAATCGATCAAACAGCAGCAATAGCTGTGAAGAGCAAAAACCACATACATTTTGACAAGTACAATGTAGCAAAAGATCAGGACTATGTTTTCACGGTATGATAACGATAATATTGTGGTTTCACTGTATCATGGTATTATGTATTATTATTATTATTATTATTATTATTATTGTAAGTCAGAATGACCCTTAGAGGAATTAAAATGGAAGGGTTATTTTTGGTTTAACAAATGTTTTACTAGAGTTGAAACTTGAAACCATTTTTTAAATGGAAGTATGTATAAAAAGTCTCTCTTTTGAAAATAAGTAAAATAAAGGTGAGATTCTCCGTCCAGTTGCCTTTTTTCCCCCCAATATCGTAAATAAGAAAATTTACACGGTATGATAACCGTCTACTTTGATATCACAGTATACCCTAAAACTGGTATACTGTTGCAACCCCAATCAGGACACAGAGATGATAAACAACAAGGGAGCATTTAACAGAATTACATTTCTCAGAGCTGTTGGCAAAACTACCTACTCACCTACTCAGCTACACATCCACTATTTAATGTTTTGCCTTCAACAAAGTTGAGGTTGTCCATATCATAGACAGATTATCACTTACACTTTCCAGGGGTGCAAACTCTTAACAGGTGAAAAAAGTGACAAAGATGCAAACCCCCTAGGGGTTTGGTGGGTTTGACACCAGTAACCCAACCCCCACGCCCAGATGGCACACATTTGTTTATTTTTTTTGTAAACGCATGTTTATAAATAGTCCGTCTTACAAACACTAACCGACAATCCTTCATAGTATACCCTTAAGTATAGTACTGGAGTAAATGTACTTTGTGACATTCCACCAACATATCTGACATTAACTGGAAAAAAACTGCTTTTTTTGCTTTTTTGTAATGATAATACTGTGTTTAATGTAGGTTTTCCTCAAACATATATGCATGCACACACACACGCACACACACACGCGCATACGCACACACACACACACACACACACACACACACACACACCTGTTGCTGTCTCTCTCCTGTCCTCCTCATCGGCTCTCCAGGGGCTGTCTCTGTGTCTGTCTGTCCGACCCCTCCTCTCTCTACAGTCACGTCGGGTCAGATGTCTCATAATTCAACTGCAACTGTGAGCTGCTGATACAGCTAGCCTCAGGATGTGGTTTGGCTGCTGCAAGTGCTAGCTTGCAAATCAGGACTGTTTCTGACATCTGGCTTTTCAAAAGTTCATCTCTTTGTGTTCGCCTCTTTTTTTTTACCTCTTTTTGGTGATTTTCCAGAGTGGATCAATTACATTTCTCCTGTCAGAGTACACTGGATATCCAAACTCACAAAGGACATTTATTTTGAAGGATATCTCCAAATACAATACATGCAACACCTCCAAATGGTAAATAGTTTTGAATGTTGTCTTTTGAAAATCTAAATTGGAACTGGTAGTGTAGGTGAGATACTGATAATAAAATTTATTTATATAGCACCTTTCAAAACACAGTTACAAAGTGCTCTACAGCAGAACTAAACACAATTAAAACACAAGAAGAATTTAAAAAAATAGTATACTGGGTTGGAGTCAATAACCAGGCGAGGTGATGCACTTAAGACTTCAGACTACAACAGGCAGACTGACAAACTTTTTCGGGAGGTTGAGCATAAAATCCCGTTATTCGTTGGCCAACCAAAATGTAACCACATAACTGCAATGGCCAATATTTACCAGGAGGTGGCAAAAAGAACACAATAGATCACTCTATTACATTCCTCCCCTTTTAGAAATGTGGCAGGTCCTTCAAAAAAACAACAACCCCAAAACAAAAGTGC